GAACTGAACTCAACTGAACTGAAAAGGCTTAGGCAAAAAAAAAAAGTGAGGGGGAGAAGAGGAGGAGGAGAAGGGGAAACTGCTTTTAGTGTGGGTCCAATAGAAGGAAAAAATAAAATGCAGGGCAGTTAACATCTCAGCAGTATGGTCCAAGGACCAAGAAGTGATGAAAACTAAGTGAACAACTTACTTAAACAGGAAGCTGTTTTCAGGCTTTCTGTGTACCGATCAATTGTCACATGAGAAACAGAAAACAAAATTAGGTCTTTTTACTGATTTTAGACTGTGTGGATATTTTCGTCTTGTCAGGAGTTTTTAATGATGCGTGGCGCTAATAAATATGAGACTGACATCCAAATGTCATGGAACGTAAGGTTCTTCTGTCTTTCATAGACTTTGAATCAGGGCTTGTTAAAGCGTGGTCTGAGCATCTCTGATCCTGCAATTAGTCATTCAGAAGCAGATAGCTACCAGAGCTGGGCTAGCAAACTGACTTATCTTTGATAATTCTCTAATGATAGCCAGAGCTGCTTATATTCATGTGCAAAGAAAATAACACTGATGGCAGTTTGAGTTCGAGAGAGAAAGGAAAAAGAAGACTCTTTACTTCTCTAAACTGTCCATTGTCCACCTTTAATTCCTTTATCTATATCTGTACACCTAATGGCAGAATTTGAACCTAAATATGCATCTGTTCACAAATGTAAAAATAATTCTAACGATGGAGTTTATCACATCCCTTACAAACTGAGTGTATCATGACCAGAGACTGCATAGTTAAAAATGTGAAAGCCATAATAGTAGCAATTTATCCCTTGCTACTGAAATTTATTCATTGCTATTTCTTCCAACTATAGATAATGCCTGGATACTCTTAAAATTACATATGCTGCTTTAAGGCCTGTTTCAACTGAATTTGAAAACAAAGGAAGACATGTAATTTTTTTAGACAATAATTTTTTTATAATAAGAGGCATTTAAAATAATTCAGCATCAGTTGACCAGCAATTATATGTAAGAAATAAAACTCTTTTAGCAGATTATTAAATGCTATGATTTTTCACAGTTGATTAGCACTATATATTATATTAGTCTTTGGGCTGGTATCGTCACCTCCATGATATGTTGGCCTAGTGTTAATATTCTGAAGTGTAATATTAAACATATGGGAAATCATGTCATGTTCAAAACCTGTTTTCTTTTTTTCTTATTACAGTATTTCAGTTGGGTGTGTTTCTTTCCTTTCATAAAGCATAACCATTACTGCAGCTCATACCCTTAGTCTCTTTTTAGTGATTCTGGTGCTGAGCTAATCTAATAATTGACTAGGCCACTGCAGTACTGACAGTTGCGGATAGAAGCGAAGATGGGGAAAATATCACCCAGTCCAGTTGGTGACTTTTTTTTCCTCAAAAGACAAAATTCAGTAATTTCAATTTGATGCCATCAAATCAGTGTTCCTGAAATCTGACACGAGGTAGCAAGGAAGTAACAGTTCTCCTCTGCAGGCACCAGGTTAACAGCTATTGCAATTTTGCATCCGTTCTTGCTGTTCTTGCTGATGGTGACGCTCCAGGTTGTGCACTGGGGGGCAGATTTATGATGGTTTATAAGGGATGATTATAATAACAGGGTTAAAATGTGATAGGATCATTTTTAAAGGGGCTAAGTGAAAGCTTAGCTGAGTAATGAAACAGCCTATGGACACTTAAAGAATGTAGGAATAAAGGAAGAAAGCTTGTTGTAATAGACTCAGACCTATCACTAAAAGTTGTAAGATGAAAATAAGAAAGCTGTTACACAGGCTTACTTTGTGACTTAGTGAGATGTATAGTTGCTAAGAGATTATTTCAGTTATTAGGAAAAGTGCATCCACATATACGGCTACTAAAAATATCTGTACTTACTAACATATCATATTATTGAATTTCATGAAGTAGTTGTAATCACATAATCCCACAAATAAAAAAACAGAAAAGTTTATAAGTAATATTATTTTTTTACAGAAGACTTCACCTTAAGTAATTAGTTCTCGTTGAAGTCCTGAAAGGTATTGGAATAGGTGTAATTATTTCCAGTTTACAGAGCAAGAGGCAGGGACCATAAATTCCCAGCCCTGAAGAAGTTACTGGCAAGAGTTTTTCAAGACCAGAAGGAAAGCTGAAATTAGATTTCTTTCATTTGTTCCGCTTTTCTAACTACTAGCGAGCAGTTCTTTCTTCCAATTCACTTCAATCTCAGACAGAACTACTAACACATACTGATGAGTTTTTAATAAAGCATTTGCATAGTTTGCTTTCTACATTTTAAAAGCATTTATGTATGTGATGGCATAATATTAAATCAATAGGCCTTTACAGAAGGTACTTGATAATAGGATCTTACCTCACAGAGCTTAACATTTTTAGTAGTGTTTATAGTATTGGTTTGAGGTATTTCACATAATGTTTCCCTGGGCAACTGTTAGAAGAGTTTTAAATGTTTAACATGTGTGGCCTTGCACACTTAATATAACACCTGATTTTACCATTACTATCTGTATGTCCTTTTTCATCATTTCCTTGCTTTTACAAAATAATGTTCATTTTGGAGAGGAAACTCGTGGCTGAGGCTTTTGCTAAGAAACCCACCAGACCAGGAGTCCTAACTGGATGGGTGGCAGTGTGCAATAAATGTTTAATCTTTCTTTGTGCAGGAGGTGGGGGGAACTGGGGGACAGCTCCCAGTGAACTTCTGCATGGATGTTTCATCCAAAATAAATGGTTCTTCAAATCTGGCCATTTCACAGACAGTGCAAACACCTCTTCTGGAATTTTGTGTCTAATAGGGGCTTCTGCAGATGTTAAACTGTCAGGAGGGCTTACTTTATGTATCTGACAGAGATGAACGGAAGAACAATAAGGGGTTTAAACATAACTGTTCTCTGCTGAAACCTCCATGATGTTCTTTGTTTCAATATAGTTTTTTTTTAACTGCTGTCCTCTATATTATTCTTTCCATGAAAGACAGATCCCTAACCTCTATCTTTTTTTTTTTCTATCCCATTTCCTATTTTAAAATCATTTAACCTTCTCAGTCAGTTCAGAGAATATGCTATGCACAATGACACATGTTGTTCACCTCTTGGTAATGTCTGTTACGTAAAGAAGAGATTTCAATCCACGTTTTTGGGCCATGCAAGGACACAGTTTACCTTTCACTCAGTGGCAGGCTGACAGGCTGCTCTCGGAAGGCGACAAACGTACCCAGAAAATTGTTGTCCTTTATTAACATATGGTAACCTGAGAGCAAGTGGCAACTCCTGAATTAGCTTATCAACACAGACTACATATTAATTAATAAATGACTGTGCAAGAATGTCTTTAGAAACTTTTCAAAACTGCAGCTGTGTTTGATTGTAAAAGAGATCTTTATCCCCTAAAAATAAAGAGAAGATTGTTCAATCAGCTAACAGAAGTAATTTTGAAAGGATATTTGGTGCATTACATACTCAAAACTCACTATATGCTATACCTAAATATCCCTCCTGTTCCCCATTTAAAGGATGAAGAATCTGAGGTTGGGAGAATAAATTATTCCCAGGGAATCACAAAAGAAGCTCTTGATCCTTTGAATAGGGCAAGTGTCTGGCTGGTTTCCAACCAGTTGGCTGGCTTTACATGTTGATTTCTGTAAGAGATACAGCACAAGTGCAGCCTGACCTACATGTGGTCAGTTTATAACAGATATTTGTCCAAGGTGGCCTTTTCTTTGTATTTCAAAGGCGGTTTTCTTTCAACAAGGTGATCCATGCTGGCATACTTCTTGCTTATGTGGAATACGGTTGACTTGAGATGAGGAGGAGTTCAAGTGTTATTTTTTTTTAATTCTGTTTTTATTCTTCTAACTAATATGCAAAATGAAGAGCAGTTCTGACCTACACCTAAGGAGAGTATCGTTCCCAGTCATGACAATTCTTCTTTATCCAATTTGTATTTCTGAAAAAATGAAAGCCTTTGGTAAAGCAGAAAAAAAGCAAACAAACTGTTAGAGTTATGACTACTAACCATTGTTTTTCAGGGAGAAGTTTACTGGCAGGCAAAACAAAGCAAAGAACTGAGTCTGTCTATCAAACTTCGTATTTTGGAATTTGTATGACCAGATCGTAGTAAAATATATGACCATCTTCATTTGTGGAAAATTAGTCCACTCTTGATAAATGCAGAAGCAAACTCAGATATTGGCAATGAAGGAAATTTCTGTGCATCTGAATTGCTTGTGTATACAGAGCTAGAAATGTGGTAGTCAAAATACAGGGTGGAGGAAGTGGCTCTGACCTTTTTCAATATCTGCATTCCAGTGTCTCGTTCTTTCACTTTCTTTAATGTTTTTCTTGTTTATCATCAACTCTATCAACTTCCTTCCTGGTAGAAGAGGCTTTTCAAGCAATAGAGGTTTTCATCTGAAAAGTTCACCTTAAGATGTAGCAATTTCAAGCAGCCACATTTAGGGTCCCTGTAAGAGCCCTTATTCTCTTCAGAACAGGGATCACATTGCATACTAGGCTTTTGAAAGCAACACCACCACTGCCAAAGTGTCTCTACCCTTAGGGGCTTCTCACATATCGTGTGGCCTTTTTGTTGTCAAATTCCATTGGAGTGCAAACAGTTCCGTCCCTGCTAGGGCTGGTGTCATTTAAGCGAGTGCATTTAGGATGCTCATCTCTGTATTCCCTATATTTGGAAACAGATATATATATATATATGTGTGTGTGTGTGTGTGTGTATATATGCATATATATAAATAAAAAGGATCCAGGTTGCTGTTCTTCCTTAATAATTTAGGTGTCTTTTTTCCTCCATTTTGGTCAAATATATGAGAGTAGTTTTTAAATTATTTAAGCTAGAGCTGCCAAACTAGGCTATATGCCTGAGCAAACTGAATGGGAAGCCTTTGCAACTGATATTGTCCTTAAGCAGCTGATTATCAGAGCATTCCCTCTCCCTACCTATACCAGCAGAATGACGACATCCAGCAGGCAGAGCTCTTCTACATCTCTGGTCAACAACTTGGCCAAAATATTTGATCTTTACAAAACCACGGGCTTCATAATGAAATGGAACCCCCTCAAATTCTTCATGTTGCAAGTAATGATGTCAGCACATCTGAAAGTTTTAACATCATGGATATGAAGTTTGCATCCCTTGAACAGAAATTAGTTAAGCTGTTGACTCTGCAAGACCAAGTTCTTAAGAAGCTAAACAGTGTTTCTCAATAAATCTGTTGCATTGAAAAAGACATTGAGATTGTAAAGGCAGAAGCCTCTGAATCTGGATCCCGGATGGAAATGCATGCAAATCTGAGAAGTGATGAAATGAGGAGACTTTGCTTTAAAATGAAAAAATCTCTTTCTAATATGAATAGGAATGCAGAGCAGCAAGTTAAAAGACTAGACAGATTGGAACAAAGTGTTACTGGGTTACAGCAGCTTGTAGGGCCTTTGAAGGTTAAAACATCAGTAACCCGTCATTTAAGTGTAAAACACCATACTCAGAAACGTAAGCTTTGCAAGGCAGGCAATTATAGGAAGGGAGCTGGACATCTTTTTAGGATGCAGATATTCTCAGACACAACATGTGATGCCCTGCTCAAGAAGAAAAATGAAAAGGTAAGCCTAAGTTTGCTTTTCATCTTCTCAAGGATCATTGCAAGCTACAGATACGTCTTGCTGTATGCTTAGCATTTTCATTTCATTAATATTTAAGAGATGATGATTCATATTCTTTAAAAAATGAAATATATTGGAATAAACTGAGCAAGTTTCAGGGGAAGAGATACAGAAAATCACTGATAACCAGCTTCAATTTTTTCTAATGATTTCTTTATAGTTTTAAAACATAATTAGGGTTCAGTACCATCAGTGACAAAAATTGATGCAGATTTCAGTGGAATTGGATCCTGGCCATCCATTTTACTATGATAATCTCTGGATTTATAATCATCTGGGAAAAATCAAGTGCAGCAGTCAAGTTATTTACAGTGTGGTCCAGATCTCAGTGAAACTGATAAAAAGCCTTCTAAAGAGGACACTGAACTTTGGATCAGGCCATAGATATGTGTCTGTCCTTTATTTCAAAGAACAGCTTAAGTGTGCTGTTGTGGTCTGGTATTTCTGCTGATGCCGGTGAGGAGGGAGGAGTTCTAAGCTGGGACTCCAGGTAGGATTACTGTAACTGGAGCTACAGTTTGTAAAAACTTCCTTGGGGAGAAAAAAAAATGCCCATGTCACTGTAACTGGAGTTTCATTATGTTCTTTATAGGCCAGATTAAAAGACCACAAAAATCTCCTGAAAGGCTCCATTGATTAAAATAGGCTCTTATAAGATAGTTTGACTATTCTCTGTTTGGCAAGTAAGTCCAGTTGCATTAGAAAATGAAGAATTTTTTTCTAACAAGGTATTTTGATGTTTAAGTAACACAGAATGAACCATAAGACTGCTTTTCACCTTATTTTCTGCTTTGCTTTACATTTTTGTTTAAAGGAACAAATAGGCTTCACTTTTTAATATATTTTACGAGTAATTTTTGAGTATATTTTTCTTAAGTTTTTGAGCAGAAAAAGAATTGTGTGATGGTATTAATAGGAAATGGCATTTCTTGAAAAAATAAGTGCCCAATATTACTCAGAATGTTCAGATCAGCTAACCAGATGCTTTCTAGCTTGGTTGCTGTTAGCCAGCCTCACTTCTGCGTAAGATGAAAAGTCTTGGAACCAGCACAGGAAACTTAATAGTTGTCAGTACAATCTGAATAGGAGCAGGGGAGCATCTTGTAAAGCTCTGTCATTTGAACTGGCTGATCTGCCGCTATGTAAGGATATAAAATGCTGCAGCCTTGTTTCCAGAGCGTCAATAACCGAGTGGAAAAATTGCTGCCTTGACAATGGGTAGAAACAACAAAACTGATTTTTACAGGCCTTTTTTGAAAATCATATTGAACTGGTTTCAATAAAGGAATTTTAACAAAAGAGAAATTTTCATCTTTGTAGCATTATCTTGATTATGGTACAATTATTTTGCATTTCTGAGTGTAGGGCTTCTTTTTACTTTTTAAAACATCAGTGAAAACATCTGTTGTGAAAGTCCAGTATGCAGTGAGATGTATAGCTCATCTCTGTAATGCTTTGATCGCTGTAGTTAAGGGTGGAGCTCTGCCCATATCAGTGAAATCACATATTCATCTAAACTATTTATAAATACAAACTGAATGAAGCCTGGGATGTTAATGGATTGGTAACTTGTGGCGGCCCGAGTAGGTATGAGGCTCCATGGTAGAAAAATACAGTAAGAGAAAGGAGAGACTGTAATGGATTCAGTGATTAATTTGTGGGAGCCCAGCGTGTGTAGCAGAGGGCACAGATGAGAGCTGGCAGCAGGAAAAGGAGGACGTGTTCCTGGCAGACTGGAGGTCACCAGCATAACACAGAGGTCACAGATGCCCAGTGAAGAGTTAAGAGCTATGAAGAGCCTGGAAGTGGAGGATGAAGAGCTTGGATTTGGTAAAAAACAAAGGGAATCACTGCAGAAGACCCAAAGAGGAGAGTGGCAAGTAGAGTCTCTGTCTTTATTTCATGAGCAGCTCCACTTGTAATCCTCTCAGTGATTGATTTTTGTTTAGGCAGACTTTCACTGCTGTTGAGTGGAATTAGTAGAAATTTGTCTAGCATAAGAGCTTAGCAGAAGCGGCACAGGCACGTCTGGAATCACACTGGTGATATTACATTGTTAATATTTTGTTTGTTTTATTAGATAACATACATATGCTAACTTGTCATTGCCTTCTTCTCTGTGTGTTTGATTTATTTTAAAAGGGCCATCATAAAGTTGTCAAGCTATCCTGTGAACAACAGCTGGCTTTAGTAAACACTTAGTCATCCTGATTTTAAGTAAAAACAGACTTGAATTCAACTCTACATTAAGAATAATGGAACATGGTATGATACCCTTCAGCAGAAAGTGCTGAGCTTGGCTTCAGTTTAGCAGGAGCCAGCATTTATCGGTGCTGAGGGCCAACAGACTCTCCTCTGCCTAAGGGGGTAGAAATAGCATCTCTGAGCAAATTAGCGAAAAAGCTGGTTCATGAGACACTCTGAAGTTCGTTGCTTGTGCCCCTGCCTGCCACATGTTCAAAATGGATTTATAAATGAGGTTTTAAATGGTTCTGGCAAAAGCAAAAAGAAGAGCAAATGAATGGACAAACGGGGTTAGATTTTGTCTCATCTGTGCAGAGGCAGAGTTTTATGCCAGAAGTGTACTATTGATACGTGTGGCATAGCAGTGAGCAAACCCAGCTGGCTCTGTACACCCTTGCTTACATTAACACAATCTTTATCACTGTCTCTAGCCCCTACTTGAAGATACTTTGAACAATATTGACCTTGGAGAATTGCTGGCCCCCAGTCAATAAGGCCAACATCTCTTTCATCCCAGGTAGACTCCGTATTGCAGTACTGAGCAACCCTGCAATCACTTCAGGCATACGCTGTCCTAGTCTTTCCTTATGGCAGCAAGTGAGATAATCCATTCACTACAGTTAACACTGAAGGACGCTGCACTGCTGGAGGTGGTCAGATGTTTTGGATGAGCGCCCTTTCGTTTCCCACCCTCCTCTAGCTACCAGCAATTGGCACCTCTTAGTTCTGATGGCTGAGCTGTCTGGTAAATATCGGGCTGACCTTCGACTGGTTCTGCAAAATGATCTAATTATTCTTAGTTACTAGCAGGTTGTGTAATGGGTGGCTATGGATACATCTGGATAAGGCAGCGCACTGTGTTTACATATTGCTTAGTCGCCTGCCCTCCCATCCTTCCATCTTTAGAGAGGTGCTCTTTGCTTTATTAATTAATTGTAGGATTGTTTTTGTATTTTTTTTAACTGGATCATTTTACAGAAGTAGATTAACTGAAGAGCACTTGAAAAGGAAGAACAAAAAGGATAGTCACCTCTGTCAGGAGGCAAGAGGAGGAATGGGGGACAGGTTAAAAGGTGGCGATAAGCAGCTAGGGCATGTCACCTTTCTTCCAGTTTTAGCAGCAGCTGGAACAGTTTCCAGATGAGGCTCCGAAAGGACTTCATGTGTTCTGCCAAATAGAGGGATCACTTGCTTTTGAAGCAAAATTTCTGCTTTCCTGCCTTTTACTCCTGTCCTGAAATACTTCCACTGCCCTGTACAGGAGGTTAGTTTATTTCTATTTTGCGTTAGAGTTTCAATATTGTGCAGCCTGCAGACACTTCATGCTTCGTCAGTCCTGCCAAATGTCTCCCCGCCCTTTTCCAGCAAGTACTGCATGACTCTGTCACCACATGGCTGAGAAGAGTAGCATGCATTACTTATCATTGTAGGTCATTTTCTCACTATTGCAACCCAGGGAAATCAGCAGTTCTCTTCTAAGCGTCTTTAAAAGTCTTGAGCTTTTCCTCCAATTCTCCTTCTTAAGTAGTCTGTGAAAATCCTGTTGTGAAATGACTCTGCACAACTCCATTTTCAGTTTTATTCCTTGCACTTAAGAAAGTAGGTAAAATACACTTAAGTATTTTAAGTATACACTTACCTACTTAAGAAAGTAGGTAAAATACACTTAAGAAAGGAGGTAAAATAATACTTCACTTATTTCCTCCAAATTAAACAGTTTAGTCTATACTATTCAACTGCAAATACTCACCTGGAGAGTCAGAAAGTCCTTGTTGGTGCCATCATAAAGCGGTGCTGAACTTTCTGCATTTGCCTGGAGGTTGCTGTAACTTCAGTCTCTTGCCATTTCTGCAGGCGTTGCTATACGACTAATAACTATTGGCAGTTTGAGTCTGTTTCTCATACTAAAAACACCTAAGCAGTGAGAGCTGTGCTTTCGGTTTGAACCCTCCATCCCTTCTGTGCAGGTATCGCAGTGCAATTGTAACTCACTGGTTGCTTTAGAAGCGGTCTGCAATGAAACTGCTGTTTGCCATGTGTAAGATCCGTTCAGCCTCAGTCTATTACCCTTTTTTGATTTCTTCATTTTGCGTACAAGTACTAATTGGTCCCTAATGCATTATTTAAATTGTTTCCAGGTTGGCAGTGCGCTGTTAACTTTTCATATTTCAGCCAAATAGGCAGGAATTGATTCATTATCTTTTTTGTTCTTTCTGCAGGAGTTTCTGCAATCCCCAGTGGTTTTGAGGGTAGAATCTTTATGTAGAAACTCAGCAAATGTGTTGCCTGTTCCTTGGGCAATACAGCTAGTCAGCGACTTTAGCCACTATTATATTCAGTATTGGTTTTTTTCCTCTCAAGACTGATGCTTTTACCTAAATATGTTCTCTGTAGAGGTATGCCCGTTTTTGAGTGAGCCATGAAGTATTAGAGTTATAATTCTCTCTCTTTATCTATAAAAGCAGTATTTCTTCTCCAAATAACAGATATTTTCATCTTGTTTTGCCCTGTTTTCCCCCCTCCTGACAGCCACAGGAGAGCTGTTCATGCACCTTAGATTCTGAATGCTGTTTTAGTTTTACTTTCATTTAGCCTCTGAACTTGCTTTCTGTTCTACTATGTTCCTTGGGTAGGATCCTGCAATGTGCTCCGTTTTTGTGGCTTTGCTCTCTCTACAGCACTGAGGGACAGGTGGA